TTAACTATGGATAAGCCAAGTACAATCACACAAGATAAACTAAAGAGAATAAAAGAAGATTTAAAGAAATCTACTACTACTAAAACTAGCAATTTTCGCAAGTCAATGTCACTACGTCTAAAGTTTCAGAAGCAAATTAAATTACCACTACATTGGAATGCATCAGGATCAAATTATTCTAATCAATTATCACCCGAAGCCATATGTCAAGAAATGAAGCTTCCTCAACTAGTAAGTCCAATAGAAACAGAAAAAGTAACATTTAAATATGTGTTACAAAACAAACATTATCAATTAGTAGAACAAAGACAAAACGAAAATGGTAAAACGTTTATTTTCTTTTATGACAACAAGTTTTTAGAGGTTTGCTTTCCGACACGATTAAATGTGCCAAAGCCTCCTGACGTTGAAGATGGCAAACTAATTTATTTGATTCGCACAAGTCAGGACACATGGAATTGGGTATAATTCACTTAAAAAAAAAACAGTCTTTCTAAAGACTCCATTATATAAACATATTTTGACCACAAAGTCTGATCTGTCAAACTGTTTAACAAAATATAAACGATATTTAATTTTACTTATTTTTTTACGTCACGGTCTCCAGTACCCGTAATACACCACTACTTAAGGTTTTTTTTAAGACCAACAAATATTTACTAACATGGGGAAAATATATCTACTTTTTGGAACGTATTTCTGTATAAACATCTTTTAACCACAAACAGCTAACCTGCGACTATCTAACATAAGATATAAATTAAAATTGGTTTTTACAATACCTTGTGTTGTTGAGTCAATCGAGGTGTAGTATTACGATGGCATCAACGATGCAAACGATAGACCCAGGACCGTACAACACTCCGCCGCTATGTCCGAAAGCAAACTGTAGAACTGTGGATACAAATCCACATGGAGGTTGAGTAGGGGCATTTGACCTTGTTCCACTGCCCACTCACTTTCCCTTCGCGGCCTCAGCCTAATTCACGGCGGCCGGTGACACAACGACACAACCTTGCACCACGCCGCCGCGGGCACTAGTACAATACTGTAGGCTACTGTTAAATGTTACCGTCGACAATATGATTTTAACTCAATTTATTGTCTACATGTAAGCTGTGTTTTGGTTTAAAACCTTGGTGTAGCTGTTGGTTGATATTCCCAATACATTTAAGACAATTGCAAACGAACAAGTATTAGCTATTTAAACACACTACTGTACAGACAGCTGTTTCATCCCCTATCCATTACCACCAGCTCCTACCACCTGTATCCTGTTACCATTACACATCACCTATGACGTCACAAAGTGACGTAGCACCGGAAGCAACCATTTCCGCCTGATGGGCTTTAAACTCAATTAATTCACCCCACCTGCCCTGACAGGTGGTGCGATAGGAGTGACCTTAGGCTACTACTATGCAATCTTAACAAGAAGTTTCATTTTATGATTTTGAAATTTTAGATTTTAAAATTTTTAGATGCCCCCCAAGGGGGGGCGCTCAAATTTTTTATGTAAACCCCCATTTACTTCGTTTTGAAGTGTTTACAAAAACTTAAAGAATGGTGAAAACCAGAGTTCGCTACCTCTTCTCTATCCAAAATGGTAGCCAATATTACCATTACGAACCAATTTTACCATTGATTTTCCACAAAATTTGACGGGCTACCATTTTGGATAGAGAAGAGATAGCGACCTCTAGTTTTCACCATTCTTTAAGTTTTTGTAAACACTTCAAAATGAGGTGAAGGAGGTTTACATTTAAAATATTTGAGTTGCCCCCGAAATCCCCCCTTTTGGGGGGACACTCAAAAATTTCAAAATCATAAAATAAAACTTCTTGCTAAGATTTGACGACCACCAAAAGGATATCTCTGTATATTTACTTGGAAAAGTATTAGAGGGGGGGGGTCTTGACTTTTTATTCACCCTGTATAAAGTTTGATAATAATTTCATTTGGTATTTGATCAACTAAATAAATATTGATTCGGTATGTTTGTTTACTATATGAAACTAATTTAGGTGATTTATTTTGTAGTCAGCCAATGAATATGAATGTGTATACACATTTATAAAACACAAATACATAAAAAAAATACAAATAGAAAACGTTTACCTTTATTGTTATTTGGTCGTCCAGCAGTACAGGCAACGCTTAAGGAAGTTAAATACAGATAGAAAACGTTTACCTTCATCAGTTAATTTGTTCATTGAAATGTTGATTAGTTCCATATTCCATGTACAGTACCAGTTTGTGACACTCATCATTACTAAGAACCACTTATTTTTGAGGTTATACAACAGCTGATGTTATTGTTGCAATCAGCTGTAAGATGTTATAAAGGCGGGAATGCTACGAATTTGTGACCTACTTGACAAGGTAATAAACCGACGACACTTAAATTTCATAACCTCTGAGGCAATTATGATAATTATATTGTTATTTGGTCGTCCAGCAGTATAGTCAACGGATAAGGAAGTTACTGAGGTTTTGTTGTGCCTTTCTCCTCCTGTTTGGATGTTAATGATTGTTTGTTATACATTTTAGTATGCAATTTAAGTAATGAGTGTTGAACATGGTTTCAATCTGGTTTTAGATACAAAAAAGGATAGCGGGTTTATTGTGATTATAAATATTTGAACGATTTTATTTAGTCTACCATAAACACGCTTGTATACTTTTTGTGACTTTTTAACCAATTTAGAACAGGTTTAATGACAAAAATATTTCTTCGTCTAGCCAAATGAAATAATACTAACACGAGAACTTTGAAATTATTTTGTATCATATTTTTATAATCTTATTTGATGTTAGCCTTATTATATTTGTTGCCTTATTATTGTTTGGCTGATCATTTTGTGCCTACAATAGCCCACATCCAACCTAATATGGCACAACGCCGGCAACTGAACATGACAACGATTAGCAGCTATTCCGCTAACTAGCAATTAACATCAATTATCAATTATGTAACATAATTACAAGACTAATGTCTGGTGTAAGCGAAGTCAATGATGACATTCAAACATATACTTGTGGTTTATGGTTACATGACTGCTGATAAGCAAGGCTTCATGGCATTTGAATTGTGTTTGATGGTTTTGTGTCGGAGTTTGACATGTTTTGCAGTTAGAGTTGTCACTTTGTGTAACAAACAAAAGTCACAAAAACACACATAAAAAATGGGATGAGGAGTCTATTGGCACTTAAAATCAATGGTTACGTTACCAATTATGCCAACAATTGCGTATCTGCTGTTTGGACCTTTTTAAGGTTTTATATTTGGATGTGTATGATCAAGAGCTGTGACGTCACGATTGCCGCATTGGTCAGGTCCACAACTTCCTCCCAAGTTATGTCACTGCCAAATATTTTGCTTCTCACTTTCATCGAACCTCAACCGCAACCACTCGGTTATGCGGTCACTCCGTCTGCAAGTCACCTTCGTAAATTATCTGACATCAGGTGTTATGACGATTGTTGCTACACCAAACAACAGCTAACAATGAAACTAGTTGTGGTTGAAACAGTTTAAGAAATTACAAGAATATAACAAAGCTTTCAGACTAATTTGAGTTTACAATTTTATATTACAGTACAAAATTACCATCTCCATAGCCTATCAGCTGATTAATTTCGCTTCTCTACGGATTTTCGAATCCTCTCACAGAGAAAATGTGACCTAATTCTCTGAGATGATATTAATGAGTAGTTTTCAGGTAGCTGTTGAAAATTAACCGTCTTTCTATCTATATACCTCATACAAGGGTTTCTCTGTAACTCCTTCTTCAGGCCGTCCGACTTAACCGATTTTTAAGACCAAGAGGTCATAAAAACTTGCCGTGGGCCTTGGCCGGATTTTTTCGGGAATCTTTACCGGGACCCAGACTAGCGACGGGCCCTTCTATACGCACCCTATCAAGACATATTTATATGAGTATTACCATCTTTTATGACAAAAAAACTTTTTTAAACCAGTAAAAGCGCTCAGGTCAGGTAAAAAGTTATACCTTCTGGCCTTAATCAGGTCGGATCAAAATTTGTTTGCTTTGGAAAGGGTTGATTTTTAATAGAGAATATTGATTTTCGAGCCGAGCCTGGCCTACAAGCTTGAGAGATCAAGCACAAAGTAAAAAAAATCGTGCTAGAACCGAGCTTTTACAATCGCGACCACAGAACGCGTCTACGAGGATCACGCCCACGCGATTGAAAGATTCACGCTTTTGCCGTGATCGCGGATGTCGACGAGAACATTTCCCCGCGGGTGACGAAGACATCCGCAATCACGGCAAAAGCGTGAATCTTTCAATGAGATTTTGAATATTTTGCCATGATTGCGGAAGACGATAATGATGTCGATATCCACACAACCGCAGGAGACCTTTAAGATTTCTCTGCGACAGTGGAAGACGATTCAACGTTTCTGTGGACCGTGCGAGATATTCAAGATTTTCACCCTATCACAGAAGACAATGATGACGTTTCTTTTTCCGCTTAAGATATTTGGGATTTGATCGCTATCGGGGGAGGCGATTATGTCTACTTGACCGCAGGAGATGTCCTGGATTTGGTTGCAATCATTGTAGACGATGATTATGTTTTTGTGACTATGGGAAGTATTAACGATTTTTCCATGATCATGGAAGACGATGATGACGCTTTGGTGCCTCAGGAGATGCTGAGCTACAAGTGGGAAATATCACCTGTGACAATGTTTTTAAAGATTTTTGGGTGAGTCCGCCTGGTGAACAAACTTGCGGGTGGGCCCTTGTTTTCTTATCGCCGCAAATGTTCCTCCACCGTGAGGGTGGAATACATGATGGCGATGGGGGTGACGTCGAACTTTGACCTAGACACCAGCATCAGTGCTAGACACCACTTAAGTGTACCATGGAATGGAGTGTTTTCTCTGTAGCCTTAAGTGTCTCTGTGATTGGAATGAAGTTTGACCAGTTTTTGATCAAAGTCATGAAAGTTGTATATGTGTTCCAGGTGAAATGTCCCAAAGTGGCGCCATAGTGCTGGCAGTTACCGTGGGCCTGTGCAACTGTGTGGTGTTGGACTTAGGTCGCAACAATCGTATAGAGGTCAACCTCCCCTGGCTACCTTGTATGTATTTCACTAACCACTATTAATACACTAAAATTATTGACTATTGGATACTGAAGTAGACTTCCTATCTATATGGACCAGCTGTTGCAATTTTTTATATTTAAAAACAACATAAGCCTAGTTGTGTGCGCCAGTCACAGAATGTGCTAGTGTGTAAAACTCTATTTTCTACCTCTTTACAGGTCCGCTTTTATAAACGGGCATATGCCCAGGGGCGCCAGTGGTTGAGGTCTAGCTACCGCACTAAAAAAAGGGAGCGCTGCAAAAAAGAGTTTGCCCAGGGCTCTACTGACCCTTAACGCGACCCTGCCTCTTTAACACTTTAACATGGGGGTGGAATAGCTAGTTGTATCAATAGTCCTTGCTAGAATACATATATTACATTTACTATCCAAGGGTATTGCCTTGAAGTTACATCTTGAATCTACCGTTTCAAAGAAAATATTTTTCAATGGATGAATTGGAAAATCGTTCATGATTTTTCAGTTCTTTAATATTTTTGGCTGTTCTTTTATGGATTTTGAAACTATGAGTCAGGACTAGTGAATAGGGTTATCTGTGGTGATATAGATGCAAAAGTCTTATCTTGAATACAATAATCTCTAGAAAAGATTCTAATTCAAAGATTCAATAGGCTGGACTCATAATATAAAAAAGATTATTTTAAATTAAGTTATTTACTGTCAGAATGAATACATTAGATTCTACACTGTATTTCATAAAACATTTGAGATTTGGGAATCAATTTTTACAATCTGTATTCGAGATTCAAAATTGCTGGTTTTGTCCATCATGACTTCCTATAAAGTAGTAGGTGGATTACCTATTAGCATCTAAAGGTTCTGACTTGCCTGTCTACAAAAAATCATTTTATAATTGCTATATTCAAAGCTCTTATGCTCTATCTATTGAAATAAATCATTTACTTTTTCAACACTATAATGATTTCAAAACCATTTAGACAAATTAAGTTGTATATTCACTTCATCATTATGAACCAGCTGGCTGCATTAGCCTTTGAAATGTAATTTATCGACCACTGCCTCAGATTGCCCCAGACCTAGTTTAGATCTTGTTGACATCTATGCAGTAGTTACTATGAGTTATGATACAATTTTACAAGGGTAATGGATGCAGTACTTTGCAGTAATGTCAGCTGGCAGAAACGCATGGTACTTTCCTCCAAACGCATGGCACTTTCCTGCAAATGCATGGAACTTTCCTGCCGACCATGCCATCTTTATCTTTACCTTTCTCCCATCAATCCTTTTTGTGTCCTGCTGTCAATTTGTATGATTTCTCTCTGGCTTTCCCACCATCTGGGAGATACCATAAAACATCAAACATTTTTTCACACATCCGTCACATAGAGTATTGTGACAACTTTTCTCTCTTATGTATTTCTCCATGTTCAAGTACAAGGTTCATGTATCGTCTGATATTATACCAAGAATGGATGCCTTCGTTTTTTCACATGCCGAACAGTTATCGTTTAAACTAAATAAAAGCTATTTTTTTATTAATCTTGCATTGCTTTTACATACACCATTATCCATTCATTTGTGAGTCAGCTCGTCAAAGAACTTAAGTCATAAACCATTTTAACACAACATATGATTTACAGTATAGAAAAAATGATGCAAACTGGTCACACAAACAAGTTATCGAATTAAACAAATTGTTATACTGCCCACTTTCTTTAAAAATTAATTATTGTTACATGGAGTTTTGCTCCAACAAAGAAAAGCATTAAGGGTAGTTTTTAATTCCAGATTTAATGCCTGGTAAAGAACGTTTTTTGTCAAATAAAAATAATCACCGTGTCTCTTTCATTGGTTTAGACCTAATTATATTTTATATCAATGGTAAAATTTCAATAGGTAACAGCGTTCATATACACATTACAAAATATCACATCGGTTGGTAGAGCAGCACGATTTGGAGATTACAAAAAAATACCAGCTGTGTATGAAACAAATTTACACCAACTTCCATAAACATTAAAATAAGATAAAAATCTAGGCCTAGTCAAATTTAAAACTACTAGTGGCTTGTAGGGGCAATAGCCCCTATATACAGTATATATTCTAATAATTATTTTGTACAAATTATTTGTCTCATGGGTTACCGTACCCTACCTTGAATTATCGTTTAAATTTTTTGAATATTATAATAATGTATAACAGTTATCACATACCTGCATAATTCATTTTTATGTCTGCTCTGTTTAGGATAAAAATTCAAAAGGACTCTTCATGTGGTGGGTTTGTAACATAAATTTTCTAATCATAATACAGCAAAAGAACATTTTCAATAATCTTCACTATTAATTAAATATATATACATTTTTTTTTAATATAGACAAATTCACTTAGAAAAACACAACACATAGAGATAATGTCATCTTCCAAATTGTAAAATACTAATTCTGTAACAAAATCTCTCTGAAAACAACGTTTGTTGTGTAGTATCCATTTTGGTCCATTCCTTGGTCTTTATTTGTTTCTATTTCTATTTTAACGTCATCTGGCCGCTTTACCCGGCTAAAAGCAACATAAAGTTGACCATGGGTAAACACTGTTTTTTTTTTTTCAAATAAATTCCAACTTTTGGGAAGGTTTGGCCATGCGCTTTATTTATAGTAATGGTGAAAGATAATCACAATGGGAATTGAATCCTTTGTAAATTTAAAGGGCATATTAGGATCTGTAGATATTAGTTTTATTTTTGGCATGAAAAATATGTTCCCTTTCCCTACTCCAGTAATTACTACTAACTTTACACTTTTTTCAGACATACCCAACACAACCAATCGTACTCCATTAACTAATCCCAGACCCTATTTCTTATGAGCATCACTATTGAACCAACTTTTAAAACTAATTTGTGTAGTGGCATTCCAGATGGTGTAAATGAATTTATAAACTCAATTGGTATGTTCAACCTCTCTGTAGGGTCTTCTGAAACTACTTCATAATTACTGTAGTAGATTTTTAATACTTCTTCATTTAAATTATCACAATGTTCATTTAAAGGACATACAATTATTTGATTGGAGTAGTTTTGAATATTTTCTGGATTTATTGAGTTGCCAAAAAAAATTGCACAATCAGAGAGAACAAAGTTATCTGGAATGTCAATTGCCGGTGTTGCCCTATTGCTCTCTAAGATTCCATTACCTAATATAAGCGTAGAAGCCAATCACAAAATGCTGTTTCATTTTCATTTGCACGCATGTTTACTTTCAAATGCACTATAGTTACATACAATACATATATTACATACTACCTTTAACACTATTAATACAACTTTTGTAGCCAATAGTCAATGATATTACCATATGCTTTAAATAAATCTAAACCACATGTTTTAAAGTAAACAAATCGGACATGACCTGGATTCCCATGCTATTTAAATGTGATTTATTTTATCCTGTAATAACCTTTTGGTGCATAAGTAAGAAAAATGAGTATTTTTCCCCAAAACTTCATGCCCAGACCTTTAAAATGAGACCCCTCCCAGCTTTCTACGGCCTCCAGTTCGCTCACAATTTCATTGTAAAATTTTGGGCTTACGGAATTAGATATATAGATTAAAAAGGTTTTTAATTTTATCAGTATTCCACTCTGTTCAAAAATTTGGTGTACCTGTATCAAAAATCAAACTAAGGAAAAAAATGTATCTGCATTAATTATCACATGTGTTCTTTTATGTTTAGCATAAAATTTTCAACTAGCTGGATTAATCTTCTGATAAAAAGTTTTGTAGTTATTCATTTTAATTTTGTTGTATTAAAACCAAACTTGATCAATTCTTTTTTAAATGTTGTTATTATTTTTTTATGTCCCACCTTCCCATCCTAGGACGCTATAGGATCTAGCCCGAAACTGTTTTCCATATTACTTCAGGCTAATCCTAGAGGATCGCGGCATTATCAAATTGATAAAATCCATTAGTGATTGGTGGGATTTGAGCCCAGGACCTCAGGCTTTGTAGCCCCTAGCTCTAACCCTAGAGAAGCTTGCTCCCCAAACTTATATGTTAACCTTTATAGGTTTTGCATCAACCAGTTTTAGCTTATTTACACTGTTTTTATGTTATAAAGATTGTTTGATTTATTGAGTTGTAACCAATATTTTCTTGCTTGTTCCAGTTGAAGGAGAGACTCGCTGCTATGACGAGCTCGGTTGTCTCAACATCACTCGGGACTGGTACCACCTCATTTACCGACCTCTCAATGTCTTCCCGCTGCCGAGAGAAGTCATCGACACCAGATTTGTCCTCTACACGCGCAAGAACCCGTTGGAAGTGAGTGTAGCCCTAGGTTTAGGAGTCGGAGAGTGAAAGTGTAAATATTGTTTACCAATCAAAAGGTTGCTGGTTAAAATCCTGAGAAAGATTTAGTAGCTTTTTGATGGTTCAAAACTGGACACAGCTGACTATGATTTGGTTTTTACATCAGCAAGTTTAAAACTGAATGATTTAAAGATCCAGACGATAAGTGGTCATTTATATTGATTGGACAATTCATCATCCTCAAGCTAAATAGGAGAGTGACCAATTTTTTTTGACAATTTTAATTTGTTATGCCTTTTGTGAAAGACTTAGAAGTTTAAACGCTCTGATATTTTTAGATTATTTTACTCTTTTAATTTATTGACATTCTATGGCCAGCCTTGGACCACTCACATCTTTTTAATGAGGAGAGTTCTTCTTTTTTCTTGTCTTTGAATGTGTTTCCCCCAGTACGTTTTCATCAAGTTGAAAAGTAGTTTTTTTCTTCTTTAGAAATCACACTTACGGTTCTTTGTTTTTAGAGTCGTAGTGTAATGTGTTTTGTCATTTACTGCTTTATGTTGTCGTTCTTGTTATTTCAATCATCAATAAAGAGTTAAATTTATTTTAGGGCCAGACTCTGCGAGCCAATGCAGACAAGACAATCCAGAAGTCCAATTTTGACGCTAAGAAACAGACTAAGTTCATCGTCCACGGATTTATTGACACACCTCTTAGCAGCTGGGTGAAGGTGGGTGTTAAAGTTACATAGAAAAAATAAAAGTTATGTTTCTAAGTGTATATTTTTATCATGATCAAGACATATTTTTACCTTTGTAAGTGTTTAAATAAAATCCAGACACAGACAATATTGTCTTTCCTCTTATGGATTTCTAATTTGCTGGAAAATCCAGCATGAACAATATTCTGTCATTGATTCATAAGTCTCCATTGCTTTTACCATTCTAAAATATATTTATACACAATTTGTTTGTTGTAGGTATAGGTGCGAGTCAAAATAAATAATTAAGAACAACCGTTATACTCCATTCACAAAATTTAGGCGGTTTGAGGCGAAGTTCCCCCACAAATTTTTTTTCTTATATAGTACAGCAGATTTTTGTAAACATAAGCTGTTGAGCTATTATTTTTAAAGATATGTGGAGGGGATGGATTTATTCCCCTAAAACTGGCTGAATATTTGTAGGCCTAAACAAAGTATAGTTGAATTGAGACTTTAATATTTTATCCATCGCTTTGTATCTTTCCTTGTTATCAAAAATACTTTAATAGCCCCAAATAATGCACCTAAAGAAGTAAAAAAACGGTCGAGTTCATAAATCCAAGCGATATAGCTGTTTCAAGTAAAAAAAATCATAACCGTCAACCCCATAACAATACTGGTCCACTAAAAGCCCAAGTGTAGTAAACGTAGTGTAACTGTGTAACTTAGTAGTTAAAACTTTTAGGTTGCAGTAAATGGCTCTACTGCTATAGCTATAGCTGAGCTGAGACATATAGTTAAAGCCATCACTAAACAGCAGCTAACAGTTAACAGTTTTTAAACATTTTTTTATGATTCTTGAATGGATAGTTGTAGGTTGATTTTTAGTTGTGTTGTTTTTTACATAATATCTTTTTGAGCTCAACGGATTTAGTTAAGCACTAAACAAGCGTTTGTCTACAAACTGTGCTGTCTGCAGGAGATGAGACGAGAGCTACTGAAGCATTCTGACTGGAACGTGATCGTAGTAGACTGGGCCGGAGGTTCCTTGCCTCTTTACACACAGGCTACGGCCAACACCAGACTGGTGGGGTTGGAAATCGCTCACTTCATCAACCACCTCAAGGTAAATTGTCTTGCGATTGCAAGCAACGGTAGTGACTACGAGAAGTTTTGTAAGAGAGACTAGAGGTTTTTATAAACCCTTCTATGTGATGATTAATTCTGGGTCTGGATGGCTTCCTGACTGGTTTTGTAGAACAACTTGTTTTGGTTACAGTTCAAAAGGTTACTCTTTAGTGTCTGAGTTAAAAAAAAAATATTACCTAGGACCAAAAATCTTCAACCACGGAGAAAGATTCAAATTTCATCCCAATCCAGTACACATTTGGTACAAATATTTCAATAAAGTGGTTTAAATACCTGCATAAAAGTTATCCAAATGTTGCTCACGGCATAGATAAAACATACTCCCTTAGTAGATTTCTCATCCTAATGGATCAGCTGAAGACAATTTTGTTGTTAGTTCTGTACGGTTTATGTAGAGGTCGTGTTTTGTTTACAATTTGTTTCCCGTTAATACAGTCATTTAAAACCTCGTTTAGCCAAATAATACGATCTAATTATAAACAATAAATTGTCCCCTAGTTATATATACAAACAGTAAAGCACAAATCAAGAAATTAACCCCAAAATAATAGAAACAAAATTTCGTCGACACTAGCGCCCAGTGTGGCGTACATGAACTAGACATGAAAGACGAGCTTCAAAATTTACAATGGGATGAGAAGTCTACTTGTGTTGGTTAGTCTATGCTCACGGCAACCGGTTTCAATCCACAATAGGGATCTTCAACAGGCCGATCATTTTTTACGCCTTTTGACGACCTTCGCAAGAAGTGAAAAAAATGTTTTGACCTGTGGTCCGATTTTGATGACATTTGGTGTGTTGGTAGCCTACCAACTCATGGTAACTTCAGGAATCTTTTCACGTTTTGAACATTTTTTTATGTTGATTTTCCCATAAAAACCCATTAAATAATGGTCAGATAATATTTTCACAAAAACGGCACAAAAAATGTTGGTAAACTTTTGTGATTTCCCCATAAAACATAATACCCATTGTTTACCCATAGTAAGGGGGGTTGTATACAAACTAATAGGAGTATGTATGAGACAGATTGCTAATACCATTTTTTATCTTATGTATTTTTATTTGCACTTCGGCTTAAATTCATTGATCAGACTACAAATAGAATCTTGGTCCAGAGCCTAACCATCAAAACCTTCTTCCAAGATCAGCATTAGGACAATGCTAATTTGAGAAAAAACACTAGAATGTGTGCATAATAAAACTTAAATAAATTGCTTGAAATGTGACAGCGTATATCTTTGTTACGCAGGACAAGTACGGGTTGAAGCCGAAGGAGGTACACATCATAGGTCACAGTCTCGGGGCACACACAGCGGGCTATGCTGGTGAGAGGGTGGCCGGACTGGGCCGTATCACTGGTCTGGACCCAGCTGAGCCTTACTTCCAGGGAATGCCTGCTCAGGTGCGACTCGATCCTAGCGACGCTCAGCTCGTCGATGTCATCCACACTGACGGCTCATCGATCTTCCTACTCGGTCAGTAGACTTGATAAGTAATTTTGCATTTTATATCTATGTTAGAACCTTACTTGTTTTTAAAAACTCTGTTGGGATTCCCAAACATTTTTGTGAGGTCCTCCCCTCACAAAAATGTTCAGTCTTATTACAGTAAAACCTTGAAAGTTCAACGCTTTGTGGACTAACGGGGTGTCGAACTATCAAAATGTTTTTGCGTGCACTAAAACAATAAGAAAGACTCTAGTTTTTTACCTCGGAAAACTTGTCATCGGCCGCTGCCAACGTGTCACGTCATCACGGCGTATGAGGAAACGGTACTGTACTATTAAATGTCATCCTGTTCATAGCAGGAACTATTTGAGGGAGCAAATCATTGCTATGTCTCTGATTGTTATTTCAATGCTTCGATCAGTTGTACATTGTTTACTTTTATATGTGGTATGTGTGTATTGTGAGCTGCAATTTCTCTGTGGGGTTTTTAAGTGATATTTTCCAGGAAAAATGTTTATGCTAATTTTTCTCGTTTACAAGAAATTAATTATTGTGTTGTAAAGTGTTGTTTAATTTTGTTATCAGGAAGTACTAATACTGTATAACAAAAACATTAGGTAAGACAGAATCATTCAAATGATAATAGAAAGAGTTAAGATTCTTTGGATCACAGAAAAGTAATTATAAATATTTAATAGTTATAAATATTTATATTACTTCTCTGTGTTTGGATGATTCATACATTTTACCAACACTATAACTCAGGGTAGGTATCTAAAAGATTGAGAAAAACACTTTTTTATAATTGATTTTCCTTTATTAGGAGTAAAATGACCACACAGTATATGGTTTCTAAAGTCCATAGTGGAAGTGAAGTTTATTTACAACAAAATAAACAAACACATGACATACAATATCATACATGACAGCTGTTATAAAATTAAAACCAGGAAGGCAATGAGGAACAAGATTACAAATTCCAACAAAAACTTATGGTGCTAATTTTTTTGTTAAAATCCAATGGAAATCCAGTAGTTGTAGTTGAACCGAACATAAGTATAAGCAAAATTAGTACTTGGGACCAAGTACAGTTTGGTCATAGAAGAACTTTTTACAAAAAGACTAACAAATGTTAATTTACAGAAAGTTGGATTCGCAACACTCAACGACCTCTACCTTCCGTCACTTTGCCGTCCATCGGTACGTTCATGTCAAACATGCATTCTAATGGAACTGCTTCGCTAGAGAAGCATGCTCATACCAAACTACCAACAGCATAATCCCTGCTTGATTACTTATATTGTACTAACACTGACTATAATACTGGATGCAAACACTAACTCTGCCTGTGACTAACATTTACTAACAATAACACGGTTTTACTAACTATTTGGTTATGTTTACGTTGTTCAACCATAAGTTTATTTATTCACATTGTTGCATATACTGTTATGTCAATTAACTGATGACTTACAAAATGTGCTTACTTACTTTAAACAACTTACTACTGTTTGAAATAACATCTGTGTGTGTACTCAGTTGTATTCCTTCTGTGTTAATTTTGACTTGACAGTTACCGTCCTGGAATTTAATCCCAACTTTATTCATTCTGGTGACTTGGAACCCTAAGGGTTGGTTCAGTTTAACCCTTTATGGTAACTCACTATATAAACACAGTACTTGTGCTCGATGTTGCCAAAATAGACATCATACTACAGCAGATGTACTAAGAGTGTACCAGTAAATGACCCTTTAAGCTTGAGTTTCCACTTGCATGCGACATGGGAAAGTAGGTTATTAAGCTACAGTGTAGAGAATGGTTAAAATATCTTGACCATATTCTCCTGTGTTTCCTAATAATGAAACTTAATGTATATTGTTCAAAAGGAGTGTTCGAGAATTCAATTTATCACACATAGATTATTGCACCAGTGGATGACTGCATATAGCATGTAAACTAACCATCACCAAACATGAGCTTCTCAGAAATGTACTAGGTAATTCTACTTCTAGGTTATGGCATGAGTGAGCCGTGTGGCCACGTAGACTTCTACCCTAACAACGGCAAGGAGCAGCCTGGCTGTGACCTCGGAGACACTCCGCCGTTGCCACTCACCGTCATCAAAGAGGGAATAGAGGAGGCGTCGCGGGTGCTGGTCGCGTGCAACCACATCCGAGCAATCAAACTGTTCACCGAGTCGATCAACAGCCACTGTCCCTACGTCGCACATCGCTGTCCTTCCTATCAACAGTTCTTGCAGGTATGTCGAGTTAGAATCTTGAATGCTGCATTTTAGTTGTGATGGTTTTATTTATTTTCTTATGACAAATAAGACAAATAATTTTTAAAATTTTCAACAATTAGATCAAATTTGGTGAAGGAGCTGTTAATTTTACAAAATTTGTCACAGTATACGATAATAACAAAGTTAATATGTTTTAGTATTTATATTACTGTACATTTTAAAATTTATCATGTTCAATTGAAGATGAAAATATTATTCCACCAAAAGAAATGTAATTTTATCTAATATATAAAATTCTCGTGTCACAGTGTTTGTCTGCAAACTCCTCCGGAACGACTTCACCGATCGTTATGAAATTTGGTGTGTAAATTCTGTAGGTATGCGAATCGGACGTAAACTATTTCCCGTTTCGAAATTCTTAAAAGGGCTCCGCCTCAGTGGCTCTGGAGTTTCCCATGTTAACCTTATGAGAAATGGAATTAATGAATCTTAACAGCTGTTTCAATTAAACAAGTTGGTTCTGTTCTATGATGTTCAATAGCATTAAAGTTACAAGGATTACCAACAGGGTGCAGCACTATTATTTATTTTACATTTATGACAACAGCTAATTTGCAACCAAAAGGTGAGTGAGCGTAGCGAACGAACTTCAACCTGGAGGCGAGTTAGCGTAGCGAACGAGCTAACCTGAAGGCAAGTGAGCGCAGCGAACGAGCTCCAACCTAAAGGTGAGTGAGCGTAGCGAACGAGCTCCAACCCAAAGGTGAGTGAGCGTAGCGAACGAACTTCAACCTGGAGGCGAGTTAGCGTAACGAACGAGCTAACCTGAAGGCAAGTGAGCGCAGCGAACGAGCTCCAACCTAAAGGTGAGTGAGCGTAGCGAATGAGCTCCATCCCAAAGGTGAGTGAGCGTAGCGAACGAACTTCAACCAGGACGTGATTGAGCGATGCGAACGAGATCATCTTGAAAATTAAACGTAACGGTACTTTCTTTCCATCGGTCTGTCTTAGGGGAAACCTATAACTTAGGCGATACGAAGTTCGCCGGGTCAGCTAGTATATTTATACAATCTTATTCACCGCAAAAACTCAAATAACGCATTTCAACTCCAATTCCTATAGTCTACCCAAAACATCTCCTTTTAACTAAAATTCACTTCATCATTTTTAATAGTGTTGAACCACACTAAATTACAATTGATGTTTTCACCTGCACTTTACAGACTTAAGTAGGGTCCCTACCTCTTGGTAAAGTATTTTCAATCTAAATAAGCCAATTGTTCCAGGGCCGATGTTTCTCTTGTAATGAAAACGCCACAGGATGTGCAGTGATGGGCCTCAATGTACAGAAGCCCAACCACGCACCCGCAGGCTCAAAGTACTTTGTCATGACGGGCAAGAAGGAGCCTTACTGTCGTAAGTTTTCAAACTTATTTGTTTCCAAGTAGTAGAAGTGATACGAAATTGTAAAAAATAAAAAACTCCATGGATTATTCAGTGATTTAATCTTAGTTTATTTATATTGTTTTCTCCCTCGCCCACAGAGAAGTAAGGTACAGAGGAAACGTGCTGATGCAATACTCACTTTCAGCTCTAGTATGTTGTGCCGGAAATATTTTTGTGACAAGCAAGGAAGAGCCCTAGGGACGAGTACCGTGCAGAAATTCCTAGCGCAAAAGACTCAGGGTCTCCACATTTAGCGTAGTAGTACACGAGGGCGAGGGGGCGGTGCGGGACTTTGCCCTAGACACCAGCGATTCAGCTAGACATCACGTAGGTGTACCATTGAATGTTTTCTCTTTACCTCACTTGTCTGTGCCTCATCTTATAAATGTAAAAATTCAACCTATTTTAAATTACAACGTTTTTGGTGGAGACACACACAGTAAAGATTATACAAAAGTAGTAAAATTCCTGATTTTGCCACTCAAAAAAGAATCCACATGTAAACTCCCACCTGAGCCATCAGCTGTTTACTTTAGCCCGGCTGGAGAGATATCACCTGAGCTTAGACCGCTTTGAGCATTTACCAAGACCGAATAGTTTACCACACTGACAATATTATATGCCTACTGGTCATTATTTAAAAGACCAAGCAGGGCCGATTTACCGAATAGGCACGGTAGGCACTTGCCTAGGGCGCGAGGCAATAGGCTTTTTTGGGGGGCGCCAAAAAATTTGAAAATTAAAAAAATGATGGTTGTATTTGCATGATCGAGGTAAACTTCCTGATAATCCCTCCCGGCCGTCCAGACATCGTAACCATCTCCCCCGATTGTGGTAAAAATTCGGACTATTTTCCACGGTCGTGTGGACATAACCTTCCATGATTGCGGCAATATATGAACATATCCCGCGGTCGTGAGGAGATTATCATCGTCTTGCGCGATCGCGGCATGATTCTGATCATCTCTCGAGGCCGTGTAGAAATCATTATTGTATCTCCCGCAGTCCTGTAGATATCGCAATCGTCTCCCGCGGTCGTGAAGACATCGTAATTATTGTTTCCCGCGATTGCGGCAAAATGTTAATCATTACTGCAGTCGTGTGGCGATCATCATCGTCATCCACGATCGTGGCATAATTCTTGCTGTTTTCTGCGTTCGTGTGGACATTGTCATTGTCTTCCATGATCGTGGCAATATTCTGATCATTCCTCGCGGCTCTGTAGATATCACCATTGTCTTCTGCGATCATGGAAAAATGATAATCCCTCGCGGCCGTGTGTAGACGTATTGTCGTCTCCCGCGGTCACGGAAACGTCTCTGTTGTCATTCTCGATGGCGGTAAATTTAGAATTCCAGGTGGAATACAAAATTCATCCCGGTTCAAAAAAACTTTAGCATAATTTCCGGGTTCCTGGTTATCCCGGTCGGTGGATACCCTGATATACAGGGTGTCCCGTAAGTAAACAGCCAAACTCCGGGAAACGCTTCTATGGGTCAAAATAAAGAGAAAATGAACAATAACATTTTTACCAAAATCGCTTTGTTGACCAGATATCCGCCATTTTGTATTTTTTACATAAACATTTTATTTTTGGAATTTTTCAACCGATCTTTATGAAACTTGGTATGTAGGTTAGGGTAGAAGGGACCCATGTTAGAAAAGTTAATCTTGATCCAACATACAATTTCAAAATGGCGGCCATTTAAAAGGTTTAAACCCAAATTAGGGCCTACTCAAAAACGACTCATTTTATAAAAAAAATGCCAAGGAAACTTGTGTTTAGCATTTGTAACTCCCTATCAAACGATACCAAATTAAAAAAGATCTAATAAGAAATAGCTGAAATATTACGATTTTTAGCTGTAAAATTAGGCAAACCTGACTAGCTTTCTGCCTTATTCTACCCCATTTTACAACTAAAAATCGTAATATTTTTAGCTATTTATAATTCGATCTTTTTGAACTTGGTATCGTTTGATTGGGAATTAAAAATGCTAAATAAAAGTGTTCCTATCATTTTTTCATAATATTATAAGTTTTTGAGTAATTTTAGTTTAAAAACTTAAAATGACCACCATTTTGAAATTTTATGTTGCATAAGGATTAACTTTTTTTCTACATGGATCCCTTCTAAATTAACATACATACCAAGTTTTATAAAGATCGGTTAAAAAATCCAAAAATAAAAATGTTTATGTAAAAATACAAAATGGCGGATATCTAATAACAAAGCGATTTTGGAAAAAAATATGTTCTAGATTTTCTCTTTATTTTGACCCATAGAACCATTTCCCGGAGTTTGGCTGTTTACTTACGGGACGCCCTGTATATTGCAAAGGGGCGCTACTATTAGTTGTGCCTAGGGCGCTGACAGGGTCAAAAACGGGCCTGAGACCAAGAGCAGGGTGGTCTAGTAGTAGAGCGTAGGACATCGGTCCCAAAGATCCCAGGTTCAAATCCTGCCAAATAACCAATGGATTTTATTAAAGTGATAATGCCGCAACCCCTAGATCTAGCCTGAAATAACGTGAAAACAATCCCAGGCTTGTGCCTAGTCTCCTAGGACAAAAAAATCCAAAGACCAAGGGTAGTAGTTTTAAGCTTATGACTTGCAGGGTGCAGCACTTTCAGGTGTAGCTTTCAGCTGTTTGTGTTTAGTTATACTCGCATAGATGGTAAGTAGAAAGTTGGTTGTAGTACTCTCGTCTACGATTATCTGCCCTTAGATCTCAAGTGTTGAATGTAGAAAGATGAGTGCTGTTGGATCCATGATGCGTTGTGTTTTTTAATTTCTAAGCTTCAGCAATGGTTATAAACTGGTAATAAGTTTGCTTACTGTGGTGTTCCCCAGGATACCATTACCGGGTGACGGTAGATCTTGCCAAGCCACCCAAGGCAGAGTCGTGGGTCCAGGGGTATATGAAGGTGACGCTGCATAGCGACAACAACATCATACGCAACCTCGATCTCACTCCCAGGTACCTTCCGTCAAACCATAGATAGGATTAGATGGCTATTTGTAGATGGCCAACTTATTTTTACAATATAAGTATGTTGTATTAAGATGTCAAAGTTTACAGCTTGTACCTTTTAAAATGGTTATTATTTCTTAAGTACCTGTACCAAGAAAAGAAAATCAATTTAGATCAAGAACTGGTACCAATACAAAAAAATTTAACCAACACATCACTATTTTACACCTTCTAATCATACTAATAATGTTTTTTGACATAGGTACCAGCTCACGTCCCATAGCACCTCACAAACTAATACAACATACTCATACTAAATTTCCTTTCCTCACAGCGGATATGAGAAGTTCCAACACGGGACTTCTCGTAGTTTTGTCGTGACGCATGTAGACAACATCGGGCCTGTACGCAAGGTTGATCTGTATTGGGAGTACGACATGGACGTCCTGCAGCCGAGATCCATCTGCTTCCTCTGGTGCAACGACCACTTGTACGTCAGCACTGTCAAAGTCGAGGAAACCAAGGATATCATGGCGAGAGAGTAAGTTCTAGCACTACGTAGTTATTTATGAAATTTTTGGATAATTTTCTGTTGCCTACAGCAATAGTTTGTGTGTTCCGCAAAACATTATTCAATTGTCAGAATATCTCTGAACAGTTAATTCATCCCCTGTTAAAAGTGTTTTACATAGCCTCTTCTAAAACAAGACCGCGGTGTTGGTGTGATGCAACATCGCACTGGCCGGTGCCTATAGCCAATGGTAATAAACAGTAAACAAAGGTGTTAACATAAACATTGTGCAGAGGCTCCATAATAAATTAGTGCAAGGCCCCACTAGAAAAACAGGCGATGCTGCAGCGCGGGCAGCGCAACACTACGTCACAGTGGTGGATAGTTGTACTAAACTCTTACCATTAAAATCTTACAAACAGCCAGCTTGTTTATTTACCTAAAACATATGGGAATGGCGATGGCAACAAATTTATCAATGAAATCCATCCACTAGTGTGACGTCATGGATCCTACAGCATGGCCTGTTTTTCTAGTGGGGCCTTGATTAGTGCAACAGCTGTTTCAGTAGACTGGAACTGTGTTGCCACTTTTTTCTCCCTGTGGTCTTGTACTAGAGAAACCCAAAACCATGGTTATAGGATAGCCCTTTTGCCCTTTTAAGGCAGCTGTAAGTGACTAAAAAATTAATAAAACACACTTAAATTTACTTAAAGATGGAAAAAAACGTAACATGAAATTATTTATTGTTGCAGCAAAAGAGCAACCGAAGTCAGCAGCAAGTTGTGTTCTACAGGACGAGATTACGCAGAAATTCCTTCAAGAGGAACGACATTGTTCATTGACCAGTGTGACCAACCGTTGACAGCAAAAGATAAAGACAACTGAGAAATACAAAGCCAACTGAATGTCATCAAAGTTCTTAGAGCATGAAGATAAGACATTGTGCGGATTGCCTTTGTAGCAATCAAATCTTCTCTATGACAGAACTAAGATTTCTTTAACCTACAAATCTGAAGGTCAAAAATATGATTCTCATTTTTACTCTGTTGTCATCTTACATAAATTGTGATACTTTTGACATTTTAATTGACAACAGTGTTTGTGTGCATCATCAACAGTTTTTTTTTTTTAGTTCTGGATACAAAATCAAAGTAAATGGTTACAAGCATTTATTACTTAGAAATGTGTTTATGTTCTGTCGTAAAGATACTTCATGTGAAAAGTGGGACTTTCGTACTGAATTTTATTTGTTATATGTCAAAAACATTGTCTATTATGAATTCTATTACGAGGAACATTTAAATTTAATGGATAATACTGCAATGAATGATTTAGTATCCGCAGTCAAAACAAACTGATTTGTATTTCATTATGACTTTGTCATGAATTTCACTTCTGGTCTACGGGTCAAATCATACACTAAACTTTACTAGTCTTGTGAATGAATCTCAACTATAATATTTTTTGGGCAATGATTGTACTATGTGCCAAACAATGGACTTAGAAAGGAAAACTATTTTTAGTATAGTATAAAGGAAATCTTAATGATAGTTAAGCTCAAGCCAATATAGCTTTATATTTATTATTTGTGGCTAATTGATAACATATTTTAACATAGAAGAATCTTCAAAATCAAATATAAATAATGAAGTTTTTGCTTCTTTAGTTCCATTGACTGATGATAGTGAAATTGATTTATTTTTCTTATAGGTTATAAATTATTCTTTGCGTTGTTGGATGCCTAAAAAATTTTTAAGTTTGAATGCCGATAGGGTATAATTTATAATAAAATAATTCGCCATTCACTTCCTGATAAATTTGCACCATTTAAGGACATTGAGATAATTCCTTCTTCAGTTTCAATGGTCAATTGTACTAACAAGAATAAGGCTCTATAAAGCTCATACATTTTAAAGAAAATTAGTCAATTTTATATCGCTTGACAATGAATTTTAAACCATTCTTATCCCAGAACCCTTGTTACTTAAGGTACTCTAAAGTCTAAAGTATTATTATAAAAGACTTGTAAATAAAATGTAAATATTTATATGAACATAATTAAACTACAATCTAAGTTTTAAGATCAGTTTGTGAGGAGGCAGTTTTTAGCTTAGTTAATTTTTATCTAACACTATTAGGCATATCATATTTCTATAAATTTGTATTTTTTCATATTTCAGTGCTGACTTACTCCCAATTATTTTACCCATTTATGTTGTGTTTACAAAATGCTTAAGTTATTCATTTTTTAAATTTGGAAATACAGTACATATTTTTTTAATTTACAATTAAACCCACATAGTTTAAAATCTTTACAATCATTGGAACTAAGTAAATATCGATTGATTTGTCACAACTTAAAGTAAAATTAAACAATTAATATAATTTTTTAAATTGATTATAAAGGTTTCAAAAAATACTTTTTTTACATTCTTACAGTAAGTCTTCATACCGCCATAGTCGTAGACTTTATGTGTAATAGGTTTATCTTGTTGAAATGTGTACATTGATGGTTTTAACAAATAAGAGTATAATCGACTATAGACACCAAAAAATAGATTCCCAATCAAAATAACCATAATTAAGTTGTGCTAGTTATACTCTTTGTTTTGTTTCAGTAATAACTTGCAAAACACAGTAGAGTGTTTGTTAACTATGTTTTGTTCCACAAACATTTTGAACCCATAAAGGAAAGGAAAAATGTAAACTAAAACAAGTTTAAACATAAAAAAAAAAAATAGTTTCTGTGCAAAATCTATATTCAAAGACAAGAGACGTTCCTACTTTTGGTTTCTATAGTCAATGAATAGTCTTTAACCAGTATGACAACTGTTTATTTACTAGAGTTAAAAAAAACATACTCCCTCATACTGGTCTAATTAATGTAAAAATATTTTGTATCTATGTGTACCGTCCATGTTATTTTGTTTATTTTAGTATGTAAGCAAATTTGCCAAATATTTTTCAATTTTGTATCAGTTGTATTATTTGTTATAAATAAAATTTGTGATAAGTATTTTGTCTTTGCTATGTTTTCTTATTTGTTAAAGAGAATTGCTCTTTTTATATAAAGTACATTTGTTACAAGTGACTATTTTATGTTTAAAACAGTTTGAATTTTTGTTGCTGTGAGCCGATTGAAAATATCAGGGGTTTCAAGAAATGATTGATGCAGATTTTAAAAATTGTAGTTGAAATGATAATTGATGGGACATTAGCTCACAAGTCATTCATCAGTTTGACTTGGCAAAAAGTTTGTGTAGTTGACAGAAATAAGTAATATAGATCAGTACAATCTGTAGGTGGCTCACATCAACTACGACAATTTTGATTTTAAAAACTGGCAACAACTTTAACATGGGGGTGGAATGTCTAGTTGTATCAATAGTCAAACTTACTGATACATCTTCCTTCCTAACTCAAAGGGTTAAAATAGGATACACTAAGAACACAAATAGCTTAAAATACTTTAATATTAATAAATTATCAACTTTTTTTACACAAAACAATAATATTAGTCAATAGTCTTAGTGATGTTAATCTCTGAACTTGGCCTTTGTAAAGGCAGGCAGTGGGACGAGGTAGAGTAGACAGTTAGCGATAGCAAGCGAGACGGGGAATGCGAAAGCGATGCTCAAGTTAAACTCTGTGTCGATAATGTCGGAAAGATGAAACTCGGAGCTGTCTCGTCCGTACCTTTCGGTGATATAGGAGGCTCCGTCGGGGTAGCGGCAAGTCAAACTGTAAAAGACCCGTGATGTATAAATGTATCACTATTATAACATGATGGAGATGTATCAGGCGGATTTTTAACCCAAATATGAATGAAAGACGAGTGGTAGTATTCATACTGTACCATTCTTTGAAAAAAAAAAACACTTAAAGGTTGTACATTATTTTGCCTTTGAATAAGCCAACAAAAGTTTATCTTATAATTACATCTACCTATTTTTTTCTATAAAAACAAACCCCTGTTAATGTTATTTAGATGCATTAGGAATTACTCCACAACTCCTACTTCTAGAATGATTTTTCATTTCAAACTCGTTTAATCAACAAAATGGTGTTTATCGTATTAGTAATACAAATGTTTTTTACCTCAGGGTAAAACTACTTTAGCCTGCAACGCAAGAATTAAAAACAGCTGTTTTAGCTGCAGTATGACAAATAATGTGCGTTTGAACCATTTTTACCAACCTCCACAAGTCTTTGGTGCTGTCGTCTGCAGAAGTGCAGTTCTGTGTGACGCCGCCGACGTGGCTGAACAGCTGACTGCTTAGAAACGCGCCAGCGTAACGAGCCTGTGTCCCGTAGGTGAGGTAAACCAACCAGTCTGAGAGACCTCTATAGGAACTGGATCAAATGGTTAGTTAACAATGGTTTGTTGCTATTGTAAAGTTGTGTGTAAAATCGGATCAGTTTTTGGTAGTGTTCAACTAGGGTTTCAGAAGAGCCATTACAATAACGGCTGGGTTGCTGACCTCTGTAGAAAAACTGCCATTACGTTCTAGTGCCGCTAATAATAAAAAAGCCAATAGGAGTCAGACCATTTTCTAGGTATGCCTATCTCTATATTTTCATCTCTACTTCGACATCTAGTGGCAATTAATTTTTACGTATTTTATGTTAAAAATGTTACTACAAAATTACCAAAATTTTGCACACCCCTCCCCCCAGAGTAATTGAACCATAAATATCCACCTCCGCAAAACAAATTAAAAAGTAAAATTTAAAAAAAGAAAATTTCTAAGGATGAGTTTACCCAATCTCAACTGATTTTCCATCAAACTCAAAAACAACCTTTAAAAAACTATGCTTTGACTTGTGTGTTAGCAAATACAAATTTTACACTCACCGCAGAGCTCCACTGGCAAACACGAGACACACAAGGCTGATATAGAGACTCGCTAGCGCTGCGGTGAATGAGCTGTAGACTACCATCATGAGAGCGACCGTCTGCTGCTCGGCCAGCAAGTAGCAAGCCCACAACACAGCCGCAAACAAGCACCAGTCCTTGGTTGTTTCCATACCTGTCACCCTGCAAATAAACAATAATTTGAGAATCTAGTGAACATGTTGAACTCTAGATATGTTCCTAAGTAGTCGCTCCAAAAAGTAAGCAAATAAGCCTGATTCTTTCTTCCAGCGTGGTACTTGATTAGCTTAAAATACAGGTGTTTATTGCCTTAAACACCGTCAATCCACTTAATAAAAGTTTCCCATTACTATAATTTCAAGGCCTGATGCCTGATTATCACATCACTCGTAATTTCTCCGGTAATCATTGCATCTGTTGAATATATGACGAGGATAGAGGATGATAAGGAAAAGTATTGATTGTAGTAAATCTGGAAGGCAACTGTTATGAATGAATTTAAGTAATGAATCAGGACAAATTTTAAATAAAAACGAGAAGGATAAAAACTGGGGTTTTTGTAAAGGCAGTATTAAAAAAATTAAGGTACGGTAATTAATTCTCACTCAAATAATATCCTTGAGCCAGCAGCCACTGTGATCAGAGAGAAGGGGAGAGAGAAGAGCCAATAGGAGAGCAGGAACAGCGGCCCTGAATACACTCCCTCCTGTGCCTCTTGGTAATATCTCGTCCGATATACGCCATCTGGAACAGAATCAGCTGTAGAGATCAGCTGTTTCAACAAAATAACACAGAAAACAACTTACTGGATCATGATTGTAGTTGGTTTTAATTAGAACAGGATTTTTCTCCTACATCAATGTGAGCCTAAGTCAAAACCCAACTAACTTTTCCTGATTCCCTCACGATTCTAAACAAAGCCCACTCAAAAAAATTAGTAAAAGAAAAAAAAGTTACCAAATACACAGACATGTAAGTATTACTGGATCGAACACCCTCCTAAACAAAAATGAAGACATCAGCTCTATATTTTTAAAATTAATCTACGACATTGAAACTAACAACCATGGAAATACAGCAACAAACTGGCAACACTAAAACACACATCCGACCATAAACCACGAAAGTCCCTACCCTCAGTCCTAGATTACCCCAAATTTCATCACTCCTAGAACCTACAAGAAATTAAATAGAGGAAGAAAGATTTCCTGCATACATGACTCCAACCTGTGTCTGGC